TTGCATGAGAAACAGTATTTAAGCTTGACCACCTGGTCATTTATAAGGATCTCTTTAGTTCGGGGAGGTGGACGGTATGTTGAAGATCCAGAATTATCTTTAAAGAGACCCACAACTTTAGTATCAACATATTTTAAATGCTAAATAATGAAAAATAAACACCACAAATCAAAAACTCACCAATCTGTCTCTCAACATCCGCAGCCTCATCCGGCAAAGCCCTGGGTAATATCCCTGGCTCTGTAAAACTGGTTTGAAGGAGGGTGAAGATGACAAATACAAATAACATCCCACCGATTACTGGAATGAAGACAGTAAGGTGATGCACCAGAAAGGGGCAACTGTTATGAATCAAAACAAAGACGAGAGCAAAGTTAGCACCTGAGACAAATATCGTAAGTGTGCTTTCTGATAATAACCTTGTGAAAGCAACTGTTTCAGACTGGAACGATGTCAAGAAGGGCTACATCAGCTGGTGGAGATGTCTCTATTGATAAAACTAGTAGTAATAGTAGTTGTAGTATTGTCTAGCAGTGTGGACACTGGTGCCTCTGTGTGCATGTGTAATGCATACTACTCACTCAAAAGTGAAAAATAAGCCACTGGTGATGACGATTAGGCCGATGGTCAGCGGGAGCACACCGCATTGCCTGGCCAACATAATACGCCCATCACAGTAGAAGCGATTATTTCCAGGGAAAACTTCCCATTTCCTCCGTAGGCGCTGGGAGTTTTTGGGGAGTTTAAAAGTGGTGGAGGTCCGGGTGTTCGACGTTCCGAGCGCTCGTGGGTCTATTTGTTGATACTCACAATTTTTCATTTTCAAAAAATGTGACCGATAGTATAGAGGTAGGGAAGTATATATTTAACCTCTGGTACACTTTAGCCACAAGCCGAGCTCTAACAAAGAGGAAGTTTGAGCAACACTAGATATCAGCTGTAAAGCCCTACCACATATTATTGAAGATACGGTCACATATGTACTGACAAATCACTTGGGTAACTTACTAAAATGATTTCAGCTATCGCACTAAGCAAACTCGAAAGTCCACAAAACACATAATGTTACTCAACGCATCCGTTTGCAACTAAACATCCCCTACAGGGAATATATCGACTAATAATTATTATACTATCATGCCATGTTGTTGCTTTCGATAAATTAGGGGTGTCTTAGCTAAGCTAATTACGTTAGCTTGTCGACTAGCTGTCAACAAGCTAACATATCTCAGAGGACGACATTGCTCCTCACGCGCTGCTCAACCGTCGTTTCAACGACACTCGGCTCCTCGCGTTACACAGCCGTCCGATCGCTGTAGATATTAAGCTGTCCAACCGTGATGAATCTGTTGGGTATTGAAAATGAGATCAGATGAAGTTGTTTATAATTCTCTAAGCGCGAATATAACGCAGC